TCTGCTGTTACTTTCCTTATTGATGAATATATTCACAAATTGTTTTCTATACTGAATTATGGCAATATCAAGAACATATTGCAGGGCGTTGACCGTTATTTTTAGATTCTTCACGTAGGTGGGCAAATCGATATAATGTGCCGAGGGTTGGTAGAAATCTCTTCAGACGATACGTTCGACTTGCAAGCTTCGATCATCAAAGCTCTAATACGTCGACATCAAAGAATTATCGCACTCTCAGCCGACATCGAGACTCTTTTTTCATATATAGCTCTGATGCAATTCCTGTGGAACACTTTGGTCATCTGCTGTCTCGGATTTCTAATTGTGACTGTGAGTGAAGCTTCATAAAATCAAATATACATGCAGTTAATACATACGCAGTAACATTAAATTATTATCATTACATGAAACATTTTTATTTTTAACATTTTTATTTCCGCTTATCAATACGCAATAAATCAGAATATCTCATACAAAGATATTCAAAATAAATTCGAAATAAATAGTGGCATTCAAATGTGGATTTTAGTACTTTTATTTTACTCGTTATTCAGAGCGTTTTATGTTTGGTATTATTTCCGATTATATTACAGTCTATCGGCGACACGCAAGGCTCGACAATGTTGATTAAATCCCTCTTTTTTTATGTTGTCATCACTTTGGAGGCATTCATATTTTGTTATGCTGGAGAATATCTTAGTGCCAAGGTCAGAACGATGCAGTTATAAATTATCTTCATGAATTCTTTCTATTTATAATTATAAATAAATAGCGCAACAAAGCTTGATATAGTTATTATAAGAAAAAATTGTATGTATCAATATATGCACATAATTTTTCTTATAATATTGTATATAATATTATGTCAAATTTTATATATTTATATATTTATGAATATGTAATTTTTTGTCAGTTACAAATTTTATATAACTTTCTGCGTATAATTTTATCATTATGTAGATTATGTTTTCTTTAATATTAATCATTATTAAAAAAATGTATTTCGAAAAATATCTCAAAGAAGATTATATAAAATAGTAATGTCGTACTTATGCGATATACTTTTTTTTATCACAATTCTAAAACTTTAATCACTCATTCAATTATAGGGCAGAATGATCGGCAATGCAGCGTACGAAACTAAGTGGTACAAATTAAATCCCACGCAGAGTCGTATTTTATTATTGTTAATTTTAAGATCACAAAGAAAGTTAACTATTACGATCGGAAAATTTATGGAGCTTTCCCTAGAACGTTTCACAACTGTAAGAGAATTATGTTTTCAGAATTATGTTTTCTTATACTTGATATAGGTTATATGTACTTTTAAAAGAAACAATTGTTATCATTTTGAATTTAACTTATAAATTAATAGAAGGTAATATATTTTTGTATATATTATAAAAAATAATATATTCTTGTCTTGTTTATTTTATTAAATTTTTATAATAGTTGTATCGATAAAAGTATAGCGTTTTACTAGCTGCCACATGAAATATGAGTTCTACCTTCTTTTTTCTAGATTATTAAGGCATCAGCTTCTTATATATCCGTGCTGCATGCTATGTCTTGAAAGCCATGTATAGAGAAGGCAATACTTTTTGTATGTTTATGTAGCTATTGTGTTATAAGAAACGCGATATCTCGCGAATTCTAGTAACTCATTAGCTTTCCACGAACATGAATGCTCTTATGTAAAAATACATTAATATATCTCATTTAACTCAATAATAGCATTATATTTTTTATAGATAAACGTTTCTATATGCTGCTCAACATCTTTTCCTTATCAGTATTGCAAACTTTCACCCTCGCTTTCGATTTATCCTTATGAATTTACCTTCCACAATTCCTGCTCTTTGTTTCTTGGTATTTAAAAGTTTTAAGTATTCTACGCATGCATCTGATACTCACGTGTGTCCAGCGCACATTCGTCTTGCATTTTTAATGCAAATAACGGACAGCGACTGAGTGACGTATATATACTAGGGTACGTTAGACGCTTTCGTGGGTACGCATATCCATTTTTTTTGTAATTATTAAAGAATCATTCTATAATTTTTATTCATGACTTTTAAGATGAAAGAAAAAAATATGAAATAATCAATGAATAATTATTGTCTCGTGCACGATCAAGGAATCACTCGAAAGTAGAATTTTACTGACAATGATTGAGTAGTTTTACTAAGACTTCTCGCTCAGCCAGATCTGATAATATAAATTGACTTAGAACTTGGATCATGCCGAAGTCGAAAATTTCTTCTTCCAATTTACTGACACTCTGAAATTCAACGTTTCTTCAATCTCCTTGTAGTTCTAATGGAAAACATTTAAATTGTATTGATTTCAATTTGGGATAAATAATCTGTAGTAAAGCGAAGCCTTTTACATTATAGTTTTATCTATAATGTAGATAGAGAATTAATGATAACTTACCGTATCATCCGTTTGAAGAAAGAGATGTCTTTGAGCTCGATGGAGAACGAGATAGATTCGACAAATATAGTGTGCTGGTCTGTGCAATACGGTCTTCGTATGATAGGTGTATGGCCGGGCACGTCGTGTGCAATTTTACTTAAAGTCCTCAGCATATCATCAATGATCGTGTTTCAAATCTTTCAATATCAACACGTAATCGTGCACTTTGAAGAGGAGGATTTAATGATTCTCATGGACGCACTAAGCGTAACTTTCGCTTATACCCTTTTGCTTATTAAAATGCTTATTTTTGCATTTAATTCTCGGTAAGACCGATATTCTTCTTCAAAGCGATACATATTGAGCACAAAATTAAATGTAATTCACAAATGCTTTTCATATCTTCTATTTTAGTTTTCAAATCATAAATAGGATTAAAAAGATATTTTTTATTTATATAAATTTATTATTAATTTATAATTTTTTATGTAATATTGACATAACGACAGAATAAAGACTTCTCTATTTTTTTTATGCAATCATATTGGTCACAATTATATTGGTTACATTTCTTTAAACAATCCTTTATAGTTTACTGAACGAAATTATAACATGCATGATCAAAGACTGGAAGGAATGCGATATTTCGGATGAGTACACGATGACCAGAATAGCTTATGTATCTCGTTGGGTCTCCAATATTATAATTTGCTCGCATATGACGTCAGTTTTCCTCTACGCGATAGGCACAATAATGAAGATCAAAAATGAAAATCAAACCGATGTTCGAGAGCTAATCATCAAAATGGAGATACCTTTTAAGATTGAGAGCACATCAGTACACGTAGCTGTCCTTGTTAGTCAATTTATTCATCAGACGAGTGCGGCTGGTATGGTGGGTGTAATAAATTCCTTGCTAATAATATTGGTAAGTTTCGTTTATGATTTGTCTATATTCCTAGAACTGAAAATAATTATGATGTAATTCTGAGACAAAAGATTGCTAAAATATTTTATGTATAGTAAAAACAGACATAATACAAAAATAATAGTTTGTAAAATAAAATTATATAAGCGAAAAGTACATTTTTTTATCTTGATTTTATATTAATTTTGATTCAGACTAAGAAAATGAATGCAAATAAACACAATCGTCATTAATTCACACTTATGTGAACACATGAAATAAGCTTCTTTCGTGTTTGTTTGCATTCGTTGAATCCAACGTTTGTCGAATCCAAATTAAAACATTGGACTGAAAATATGCAATATTTATTTAGGTTCTTCATGTGTGTGGGCAGATTGATATAATGCGGCAGAAATTGAGTGAAATTACGCAGAAGAATATTGAGCGGAAGAACATCGAGCAGGGTGTGAACGAAAACATCGTAAAAGATCTGATCGTTCGACATCAGCAAATTATCACCTTCTCCAAAAATATCGAAAACCTTTATTCCAATATAGCACTGATACAATTTGTATCGAATACTCTGGTTATCTGTTGTCTAGGATTTCTTATCGTGATCGTAAGTATACTAAAATAATATTAATTTCTTTAAAATATAAAGTAATATAAATTTCAGTCTATCGGTACCCCAGGCGGATCAATGATGTTAGTCAAGTCCGTGTTTTTTTATTTTGTTATGAGCTTAGAAGCATTTGTATATTGCTTTGTCGGACAACATCTGAGCACGAAAGTCCGTATAAAATGTATTACATCAAATATACGATATTTGGTACGATATTTTCTATGACAAAGACATATGATTGTACATTTTAGAGTGAAATGATCGGTGACTCAGTATACGAATCATTTTGGTATGAATTGAATCCTAGTCAAAATCGAGACATCTACATTATGATCATAAGATCCCAACAGAACTTGACGCTCACAATAGGAAAAGTTATGGAACTTTCTTTGAGACAATTTGCCAACGTAAGAATTTAGCAAAGTTAATGGAAATGATAAAAAAACTACATTTTTGTACAGAAAGTTACCACGAATATATCTTAATAATCATTTTTTAATCGTCGAGTCCTAATGTGAGTCCTAATTCTTGTATGATAACTAATAGCTTCTATCATGTTGTAGATCCTTAAAGCTTCAGCGTCATACGTGTCGGTGTTGCACGCAATGTATTGAGGTCTAAATATACTTTGTACGTCGCTTATATCTTTGCATGCAGATCTCTATAGTACTTTTACACGATTGGTCATTTTCTTATGCAGAGACTCGACGGGGTTTTGCATCGAGTGTACGCAAATAGAAGAACAAGAAAATTATTTACTGAAACATCGATTGGTGATAATTGTACTTGATTTGAAGTACATAAGAAAAAAGTTATAAATACAACATTGATTCTCTCGATTGATGTACTTTGCCAGAGCTGATAAAATAAAAAAAAAGCATTTTTTTAAAACAGAAATTTAACTTAATATTTTTAAATTAAGATTTTTATTAATTAAGATTAAATTTTTACACTAATTTTTATATTAATTAGAATAAAATTTGAAAGATATTTATTTTTTTAATAATT